TAAAGTGTTTTATCAAAACCAGAATCTATTTTAGTTACAAATTATTGAAGAAAAAATCCTGTTTTAAACAGATAAGCAGTCTCAAAGCGAACTGGTAACACTTGTTTCCTTGTTTTATGCAAATCATTTACGAGTGCTAGCTAATTAAAATATTTCCGGGAACATGAGAGAGGTGCCAAACGGAAAGTATCTACTTTAATTTAAATAATGACAAAATAATTTTTAATTAAAAAACCCCACAAAATACTTTATTTTCAAGTAACTTTCAAAAATATAAAATCATTAATTTTCAAATACTCGGTTGTCACAAGCCATCCTACAATCCTTTTCATAAATGTAGCAGTCAAATAGGTAGCGAGCCTAAATCCTGAAACTGGAGTAACACGCTCCCCCTAGTTTGGTTTTGATTGAAGACTCTCTGCATGTTGTGTAGCCGTGTACAGCTTTATTAATGGTGTGGGAACCAGCAGACCAACCTCAGACAGAATTCAAGCAAGATTCAGCCCAGAAATATGAGAAATTCAAATGTTTGCACTCAGAGACACACTGGAAGTGTTAACCAGACAGTCTAAGTCTTTCCAGCGTATGAACGTTTTCTACACTTTAGTTAAGGTTTTGAACAAGTTAAAATTCAATCAAATGCCTGGGAGGGAGATGCCCCGGTCAGGCTGCTGAGTTGGGAGGTGACGTCAGTGGTGTTGGTGTGAGGTAATCAGTGAATAGAGCTCAGACCAGGCAGCGGGGCTGAGACGGGAGGCGGGGGGGGAGAGTGACTGGAGAGGCAGTTTGTGTGATGTGTTGATGAAGGGGTTGGTCGGGAGAGACAGGCAGGTGAGGGCAGCGACTGAGACCTGTCCTCCTACTGACTGGGTGGTTGGTGGTATCGGACATTCAGGGAGACTCAGGCAGGGGCTTCATGCACTGAAGACCTTAAGTGTGTCTTTTTTCCCTTCATATATTTATGAATGAACGTATCTGCTGATATCATGAGAAATAAGCGTTTGGAAGCAGCCTCAGGAAAATGGAGACGGTGAGGGACAGTCGCTGGTGGAAGTGGCCCAGGGAATACATGCCGACCGTGATGCAGGAACACGTGGGGTGTTGCGTGTCTGGCTGGAGTCTAGAGACCATAAATACACATTCGTCCAAATCACAAATTCTTCACCCACTTCCATCTGCTCACATCTCCAACCCATTCGGACTGGGTTGTTGTGTTGGTCAGACAGATGCTAAGATGGGAAGGACTTGCAAAGAACAGGAGCACTGCTGGGGCGGTGAATGTGCCAGAGTACCAGCCACATCCCGCTCCCCACAGACATGGGGAGAAGCCACGCCCCCAGGGTAGGGGCGTGTGGGGGAGCCAAGCTCCCCTGGGCATAGTCTTGGGAAGAGCCAGGCTCCCCGAAACTAGGAAAAGCAGTTAGAGAGTCCCCAGGGGTTCGAAGAGTAGGTTTCCGAGGATGCTGGCAGATGGCCTGTAAACCCGTGGACATGTCAGAGAGGGGCTCAGAGCCTGAGATGTAGATTATGAGGTGTGCCCAGCAGTGCCCGTGTGGAAAGCGGACGGGAGGGGACGTCACTGGGTTGAAAGTAGCAAGGGCGAGTGGACTCCGAGATCCCCCATGGGGAGAGATGTCAACACAGAGGATGGCAGGAAGGGAGACGACAGACAGGACCAGCAGTGGGCTGGCATGGACTTCCTCATGGCCCCAAAGTCACAGGGCTTTAACTGAGCTTTGAGTGCAAGTGGGGAGCGGACAGCAGTGAGGGCCCGCGGAGCTGCTGTCGGAAATGCTGAAAAGGGGAAGAAAGAAGACTCGCCCTCCATTCATGGGGCCGGTTTACACTGGTGTGTCAGGAAACCCCTGTAGATACTTAGGGACTTTGATAATTCATCGTGATTCATATGTTTAAGAAAATAAATAAAATGACCAAGAGTTTTGCCAGAAAACTGTATATATAACAACAAATCAAATGGAAATGTAGAAATTGAAAAATATATTTGCAGTAAAGAACTCAGTATATATGGTTTGAACTGGAGATAGCCTAGTAGAAAATATTCAAACGGAAGCAGAAAAAAATGTACGTATCGAATATATGTGTGTAGTTGGAATTGCAGAAGAAAGAGAAAATGGGGCGTAATCAATATTTGAAGACATAATCACCAGTCATTTTCCAATTCTGATAACAGACACCAAGATAAAGAGTGAAGAAATTCTACCAGCCAGTCAGCATAATACAGGGAACTTTACCCTGGCACTTTGTGAGAAATCTTCTGAAAAATACGGCAAGAAAAGATCTTAAAGCAGCAGAAGCAAAGGAACGCTAGTTTCAAAAGGGCAAGTAGACTGATGGACATCTTCTCAACGTAAAAAGCAGTGGTAGTAAGACAACAGAACAGCATCTTTGAAGTGCTGGAAAAGAAACAAGCAATTAGATAAAAGGGTAATTAAAAATAATGGACCAGGGCTGGCAAGTGGTGCGATGGTTAAGAGCTGGCTTGGGACGCCAGAGGGCCCCGGTTCGGATCCCACATATGAGGGCCAGTGACACTGCCCTCCACAGCTAAGATGCTGAACAACAGCTCAACCTGGAGCTGGGCTGCCATGAATCGCCGGCGACGGCATAGGCTGCAGCCCCTGTGGCAGTGGGTTGCCATGGGCTACCGTGTGTAGCCAGCAGCCAGCGTGAGTGGCCAGCAGCCACAGTGAGCGGCCGTCCAGTAACCGGTGACTGATCTGCCTCACCCGGGAAGAGCGCAATGATGGTGCCAACTTGGGCAGTGAAGCAATGTCCTCCACAATTAGACTGAAGAACAAAAGGACAGCAACTTGTCTGTTCCCCTTCCCCCAATTCCCCAGCACTGTTCCCATCCCCCAATTCCCCAATTTAAAAAAATAACCTTAAAAAAAATGATGGACCAATCAAAAAAGGGTAAATGAAGAAAAATTAACTTTAATTTATGATTGATTATATCCTAAAGAAAAGGCAAAACTCTGATTAGATGAAAATAATATAATTAAAATAAATTGACTAAAAATAATGTAAAACAAGTCTATGATGCTTATAAGAGGCAAATATGTAATATGCAGACATAGGATAATTGAAAGTAAAAGCCTAGAAAAAGACATTTCTTGTAAGGACTAAATGTTACAGCTTTATAATCATAAGTCAAACTCAACAGTGACAGTAGACATTTACGATCCATGCACTTTGGGGTATGATATACTTCAATAAGATGTATGCTTAGGGAAGACAAAAATATTACTTTAAATCAAACAAGCAAATAAAACCTCCAGTCTATCCAACAAAGAAAAATTCTTCAGAAAGAAATGCATATTTTGTGACTGCATATCACTCACTGAAATACTTCCTTTGTTTCAATTTGTATGTAACATTGCATGAGTTACTTCACACTTTGAAGTAACAAAATAGTGACTGTCATTCATCTGCCTTCAGAAAATGAGGTGTCGGGTTCCACCAAAGGTGAGAATGTTGCATTGACGGACAAACGGTGTGATTGATGGGGCGAACAGTGTGTTCGTATCCCCCCAAAACCACTTCGCTGAAAGCAAAGCTTCCTGTTTTATTAGAGACATTACTTTTGGCTGAACTGATTTTTTCTTCCACTTTTCCTATTTCCTAAAGGCGTGTGCCTTTCTGTCAGCATGTTGAGTTCAGCCAGTGGATCCAGTGTTTGTCTGCACTGGCTGACAGCAGGGCTGTGTGCTTGTGTTGTGACGACGCGATGATTGCTTTATCGAAGCTCCCATCTGGTGGGACCTGCATGCTGACATGCAGGGGACAGTTCAGTCGATTTGCCAAATCTACATCAGCTACCAGTGCTGTTCCGGTCGGCCTTCTCTTAATGTGTGGTTACCTTTGGTCACCTATATGCATGTTCAAACTTTATTTTTTAGAGTCGTTTTAGGTTCAGAGCAAAATTGAGGGGAAGGTACAGAGATTTCCCACATATCTCTGCCCCCCACACCCACAGCCTCCCCCACTGTCAGCTTCCTCCCAGATGGGACATTTGTGACAACTGATGAGCTTACCCTGACACGTCATCACCCAGAGTCCACAGTTCACATCAGGTCACTCTTGGTGTCGCTCCTTGTGTGAGTTTGTACAGATGTGTAATGACCTGTACTCACCATCACAGTGTCACACAGAGGGGTCTCACTGCCCTAAACGTCCCCTGAGCTCCACCTGTTCACCCCTCCCCACAGCCCCTGGCAACCACTGATCTGTCACTGCCCCCATAGTTGTGCCTCTCCCAGAATGTCATAGAGTTGGGTTCACACAGTGTGCAGCCTTTTCAGATGGGCTTCTGTCACTCAGTCACATGTATGTAAGGTTTGTCCATGTCTTGTCGTAGCTTGAGAGCTCATTTCTTTTTGTGCTGAATACTATTCCCTCCTAGAATATATATTTAAGAGATTTTGTGGTAAAGTACGTGCTATCCAGACTGGACCAGAAGTTTACCAGCTTAGAGGAGTTTTCATGGTGACAGTGTGATGTCGTGTAGCTATACAGCCATAGCTATGAACTCTAACACTACCCATTTTTCCAGAACCATCCCAGCTTTAGCACAGAAAGGCCTGCTCTAGAAGATGTCCCACAGTTTCAGAAGAATGGGATGGTTGGTTACCCTAAGTCAATTTCTAAAATTAAACCTACAAATTTGCAGATATAGGATAGAATAACTACTGTAAAACCTAAGCGATATGGAGGTTCAAATAGGAATGTAAGGTACACATGACTGTTGATTCTTTGAAGGAGGCTATTGTGCTCTCTAAATAGATAGATAGATAAATAGATATAGATACATAGATATATAGATATCTATATATAGATACATATATCTGTTCATCTGTCTATCTCTCTATCTATCTCTCTATGTATCTCTATCTGGCTCCTTTGTTTAAGTAACAAGTCCCGCACTCAAGGTAGAGATAACAGTGCCTTAAATAATGTTTTAACGTTTCTCTTCTGCACAGACTCACTGGGTCCAGCGTCCCTGACCTCATCGTGAGTATGAGCAACCAGATGTGGCTGCACCTACAGTCTGACGACAGCATTGCCTCACCTGGATTTAAAGCTGTTTACCAAGGTATGGCCGGAACACACCTGACACATTTAAAGCTAGCACGTCTCTCAAGGGCATGGACCCTGCTCAGTGTGTTAAATGTAAAGAAAATTGACAAGTCGGAGCAGTGTTTTAAACAGGGATGGATATTCCTAATTTCCTTCAAGTCCTACTTATAGCTCTTGTGTTTCGTTTTGTTTTGTTTTTACGAAGGAGATGTTTTAAATTTTTGAAAGCTTGGCTTATCGTGATGTCTGCCGTTATTATGTCAGAGTAGAGGTGACAGGAAGTTAACGTCATCTATGAAACGCGTGCCTCCTTATGCGTCTTGGCACTTCTTGCTTTCCTGGGAGGGGTCGTTATGCTTAGAAGTAAGGGAAACGGGTTGTGAACAGAGCATGAACCTGAATGGCACCGATTCAGTTCAGGTTTACTGTGTACATACTCGCGTCCGGCTGGGGGGTTGTTTTTTGGAGGACGGAAATGGACAGGAAGTGGAGAGGACACTACTGAGTCCTGACTTGTGCGGGAGAAGACGGGCTCGGCCGGGAGTTAGGAGTTCCCGTGGCTCTGGAGAAGGGCTGTCCTCAGAGACGCGACGCACCTCGGGTGCGTGTGCAGCAGCCGCTGCGCAGCGCTGTGTGGGGCAGCTCAGTGTGGGGCAGCTCAGATACGTCCCCGCCATGTGGCCGCCCCTGTTGTTTCTTCCAGGGGATCTCCTAGGAAATAGGTATCTTTAACCTTAGCATGTGGACTGCTATTTTGAAAAACTTTTTATCATCATAGAAAATTTCAAAAGGTAAACAGAAGTGCAAAGAATGACATAATGCACCTGAAATGACCTTTATTTGTAATCTCTTCCAAGCCACTTCCAAGTATCATGCTCTCGACTCAGGCATTGGCTTGAGACATGGGACGCAGCTGTGTGACCCATGTGCCCTTATAGGTGGCGGCCTGTGCTCAATCCAGCCTTCCCTCAGGTACCCGAGGCGTCTTTTGGGAAACCAGTGACATGTCCTGCTATTAGACACTCCCAACCACTTAAAGACTCAGTCACAACTAATTTGCAGTCGTTTTCAACAAGATTGAAGAGATCCTATATCATCTTGAGTTGAGGCTATCACCGTGAGAAACCATTTCAGGATCATTCTCATACATCTTACAAATGCCTATGGACTGATAGTTACATTATCAAAATAACCAGGAAATTACATTTTTAAACCCATCCAGATATTTTTACTAACATACAAAATAATCTTATTGAAAAGAAACTTCTATTTATAAACTATAACCTAAGAAAATATACAGTGGATATTCAAAATAAAAAAAAAATAAATGTATGTTTCACATAATCTAAATTTCCAAAATTTTCGATACTATCCATAACTAAAGTTTCAAAATTCTAAGCAACTAACAAATTACAAAGTACTGTAATTGAAATGGTGATTATGTTATTTGGATTGTTTTACTGTAGGGGCACTGTTAGAAAAAAAATAATTAATTTGTTATTGTCAGGAAAAATTATGAAATGGACCTGGACAAAAATATATATATATTCCTTGGTAACCTTTTAGTGGCCGGTAGACTCTTCCTGGTTACCCAGTTCTGTGATGGGCTGTGTCCCTTGTTGTCCTTGAGCTTTGTCACTGCTCAGAAAGTCCTAGAAAACTGACAGTGATGCAGGTGATTCCTGACCTCTGACACACAAAAGGATTTACCTGCAGGAGCCAATGGATTGTTGCCCTGGGGATATTGGCGACTTTGCATCTATTAGCGACTTCATTTCAGTGCTGCTAATTGTCTGTGTGCGCCTGTTGTTTGGATTCTCCTCGGAAGCAGCTTGCAAAGGATCTCACTGGTTCGGTCATTCATTAGTGAGCTCATTTACATCTTCCACTGCTGGACGAGTGCAGTGCAGGTGGGGATCAGAAACCCGAGAGTCGGGATTTTACTTTGCTTCAATTCGTGAATTTGAGTCAAGACACACCATGCTGTTACTTTCCAAGTGTGTAGAGTATCCAGGAGCTGAAAGGATATAACAGGAAGTCATCGCGTATCAAGCCCATGAGGCAGATAATTGAAAAGCATCTGCCGACCTCAAAACAGCAAGCCCACCGGGCGATGGTGTCCTCAGTTCAGTGGGTCAGCACAGCGCGTCCTGGCTGCGAGCTGTGAGCCGAAGGAACTGCAGCGGGAAAAGCCCTGCACTGAGGAGTGGGCCCCACGGGCGTGTCTTTACTGACAAAGCGACCCGTGTCCCCTTGCTGGAAACAGGGTAGGGTGGAGACTAATGACTCTTCTTACTCAGAGATGCTACAACACAATACAGTATTTACACCCCATTCAAAGGTGAGGACTAGAATACATAGATAATCGCTGAGGACTTCCTGGCGTTTGGATTTTCAGACTTGACCTTTAATTGAGCTTCTACATGACTGCACAGTGCAGTCACTCCAGAAAGCGTGAGTAAAGCAGGACCGATGCATGCTGTGCCTTTGGTAGAATCTGAAAGCATCAGTGAAATACCAAACGCTTCCCAACAGGGCACACGGCAGTAATCGACTCCAGCACGTGAAGACACACCTAACAGTGGTGTGGACACTGGAGAGGCGAGTATCATTCTTAGATGTGAGCCCTTCCCTGTCGGAGGGTCTGAGGGTTCTCAGTTAAAATAGAAATATTCTCCCAAGTGTTATATTACAGTGTGAATGACTATACAGCATTAATTATAATTCTGTCTGACTCTTGATTAGTACTTTGTTCATAGTCTCAATAGTCTATCAGTAGCTACAACTTAAGATGCCATGAAAACAGATGGTCATTGATCCTGGAGAGATTGCCAATTCAAGGCCGTATATTATTTTTTTGACAAAACAACATTGGGAATTCCCTGAGTGTTGTAGGGGGTATAACACATTTTGGGGTCCCCAAGGCTTTGGATCACACTTCCTGACTGAGACGTCGTGGCCTCTGAGACTTCGGGCCCTGGTGCGCCTCACTGAAGTTTCCTAGTGGCTCCTCTGCTGGCAGCCTCCCCGCCTCAGGCACACACAGCCATGTTGAAGGGACACCGTGGGGACAGACGAGGGAGAACCTTGGGTCCACACCAGCCACCTGTGGACCTCTCACGCAGCCTCCCAGTCCTGGGCGCCGGGGTTTCCTGTTCACTGTGTTTGTTTCTCCCATCTCGGACCCTCAGAGATAGTCACCTGTCTTGCCCTCCCCTCCCCCACCAAGATGCCTACCAAGTACCTTCAGTTAATTTAGTCTTCTAAAGAAGTTTGTGTTTCAGCGACAGGGCCAAGGAGCTGAGGGAACTGCCTGAGGGTGTGGGAGGGAGAGCAGAGAAAAGCTCGGAGGCTGAAATACGAACAGGCTCCCTGCCGATGGCTCCGGAGCAGTGGGGGGAATCAGAAACTAGTATAAATGAAGTATCTTGCTTGATATATGTATATATGCATGGAGCGAGCGAGCGAGCGAGCGAGCGAGAGAGAGAGAGAGAGAGAGAATGCTAACTAATAATTTGCCATAAGAAAATAATCAGAAAAAGTATTATGTGAACTTTAAAAAATGAGAAGTCTTTAAGGAGGTATGTTAATTGTTTGAGAAAGTGATGGGAGGAAGGTGAGATTTGTTTGTTTAAAACCTTCTTACCCATGAAAATATTTAATCAAAATAATCTATTCAAAAACCTAAAAGGTAAAAAAAATGATGTAAATAATTATGGTTCACCTGTATAATGCAATGCTATCCAACTATTAACCGAACAGTATGAGACCAAACATATACAATACGTTGTATAAATATCATGTAGTATATATAACACGAACACACATAATATATAAATCATGTGTATAATTCATATGTACAGCAGGAATCAGAACATACATATGGAAGCTAACTTTCTTAGTGCATAGTTTCTCCACTTTATTTTTTTAATTCCTATCATTAAGTTACAAAAATAACTACCAAGGATCCCAAAATTGTATTTGTACAATCTTCCATTTAACAATTCAGCAGAATTCTTGTTAAATATTGTAATAATGTAACAGAGCTTGAGATTGTGCACGTTTAAAGTGGAACGTGCGTCATGTTTTGATTCCCTGGAAAAGACGGGGACAGTCCCGTCCTCAGTGCCAGGGGACCCGCTCCCGACACTGTCCCCTCCAGCACTAGGGGGGCTGGCAAGCAGGCTCAGTGCCCGGACATTGGTACACGCGCCTGCGAGTTTGTGTTGTTTGTGGCTCTGCATTCGTGTGGCCTCTATGCCTGCAGTGACGTGGGCTGACGCTATGTCATGTGTCGCAGAAACAACATTCTGCAGAGCTCACCACATGTGCCGATGAGCTGCCTTTTCAGGAACTGTGTTTGGCAAAATGGGCCATAGCTATTTAAATCTTAGCGGGGGGTAAATGAAGGGAACTGTCCCCAGCGATGTGCTGCTGTGCAGCCAAAGGAGACCTCTTAGGGGCTCATGCTGAGAATGATTTCAGTAAAATCATTTGAGTTCAGCGTGACTGTTTCTTCCGAGAACCGAGTTGTCGCCTGTGCCCTGTGAACACACTGCTAACGGGAGGGAGCAGAGACGGGTCGGGCATGCCAGCCTTCAGCCGAGGGTGCCGCCTCCCTGAGGAGTCAGAGCCGGAGGCGCCAGTCCACACACGGCGCTTCTCCTCGCCGTCACTGGTGACAAAACCAATGTCGTGCAGTCCTTGAGACACTTGTGATGGTGATTTTTTTTCGAGTCAACATGACTGGCGCGCAGACATTTGGTCAGCCATGTTCTGGGTGTGTCTGTGACGGGGTCCCCGATGAGGCGAGCATTCGAGTCAGTGGGCAGAATAGAGCAGATGGCCCTTCCAGTGCGGGCGGGCCGCATCGAACCAGGCGAAGTCCTGACTAGAACAACAGGCCGCGTGAAGAGTTTCCCTCTCTGCCTGCCAACCTTGGAGATGAAACCCTGGTCATCAAAACTGAGTCTTTGGACTCAGATTTGGACTTGAACTTCCACCATTGGTTCTTCT